GCTGAGAAAAATCTTTACAGTTTATTTAAAGCTGCTTTATACATACTTACAAGTTAATATACAAACAGCGCTTGGGTTGTAACCCCTCTACAGAACTTGGGACAGAGATGTCCGCACAGCATCCGGGAACCCCACGAGCGCAGGGGTACACGCGTCTGGCGTCTCGCCTGCGTGGGGCCAGCGGGCCGGGCGCGGCAGCCGTCGCTCTGGGTGATGTGGGAAAATACACGCCGGGAAGCCTCGTTTCCCTTCCTATGTTTTGGTTTCCTCTGAGGGTGGCAGCGTCGGGCCTCCTTTCAGGCCTGGCGCGCACAATGTCCTGCTGCGATGGGGGAAGCGCCCGCCGGCGGTCTGAGCCCCGCCCCGGGTCTGAGCCCCGCCCCGGCGGCGTCCCGCTCTGGGCCCAGCTCGGAGGTCTCTCTGGGAGGGGCCGGCGCTCTGCAGAGGCGCCCGGCCCGTGGCACGGCGACGCGGTGACGCCCCCCAGCACCGAGGGCTGGCGCAGGGCCGGTGCCGCTTGCGGACAGGCCAAGCCTGTCTGCAGCCCTCTGCTAGCGGTCTGCCCTGAGACGCCGAGGCAGGCAGGACGGCGCCTCCCCACCGTCTGCTCTCCCGGGGAGGGCGGAACGCTGGCAGGGCGGGCTGCGGCCCTCTGCGCGCTGGGGCCACGCTCGGGCCCGTCCTGAAGGAACAGCTGATTGTCTCGAGAGCGGCCGGTGAGGGCCTCTAAAGTGCACGTCGCCCTGAGGACGACTGAGATGACAGGACGCTGGAGGGCAGCCCGTGGGGGAGTGCACTGGGCTTCCGAGCCTGAGGCCTCCCGGCTGCTCCCGCAGAGCGAGCCAGACACTGACTCCTTTGGGGGTGCTCGAGTTCACCTCGAGAGGGAGCTGCAGTGGCGCCGGGAGCCCTCTGGGTCCCTCAGCCTCTGCACTGCAGACAGGCCTGGGGGCGGGCGGGAGCCCAGTGCTCTGAGCCTGCCCCTGACCGAGGAAGTTGAAGCTGTGGGAATGTAGGTTTTCAAAAATGACCCAACTGTCGCTACTGAAGCCTCTGGACCCGGGGGGCAGGGGAGCACCGGGCGGGGGCACTGCTGCCACACGGCCGGGTCGGCCAGGAAGTCAGCTGGTGGCGGTCCCGGAGCCCACCTCTGACGGGGAGAACGAGTGGCGGGAAGCAGCTGTCCGCTGAGGGACAGCGAGGTGCGACGGGACAGCAGGGGCTGCGGGCACCAAGCAGGCAGGAAGCCCTGGGCGCGCGAGTCGGCCTGGCACACACACGCACGCGACAATAAATAACACACAGGTAAGCTCACAGTTTTAAGCAAGAGCGCTTTCGGAGAAGCTGCAGGTAAACCCCTTCACTGCGAGGCCAGCTCGCAGCGCCTCACAAGCACCACGTTAGAGCTTTTCTGGATGCTGTGCAGGACGTGCGCTCAAAGCCCGAGCTCGCCAGGGCTTCAAGGGCCACGTGTCAGGTACAGAGTTTCCCGGGGCGGGAGGGAGCAGATGGCGCGGCAGCAGCCACGTCCCTAGGGTGGGGGACGGCGCACACCCGGCCGTTCAGCACTTCCCTAAGAGCCAAACCTTGCCAGGCCCCGCCGCTGCGCCTCTGCCCTTCCTACCCGCACGCTGCCTCCTCGCTGGCCCTGGGGGCGCGGTAGCCACAGTCCCTTCAGAGTGGACAGAGACACCCCGAGAGTCAGGCCTCAGGGCTGCAGCCCCAGGGTCGCACGCCTGGGAGTCAGTCACCGGCTCGCCAAAACATGGCTGTGCCCGAAACGTGGCGGGTGGGTGGGTGACGGACGCCTGCCCCGCCGCCGGCATCGCCGCATCCTTGCTGAAGGAGAGAATGGTGTGCAGAAGGGGTGGGGCCGGCTGCAGGGGCCGGCCAGGGAGGCCCTGGGCTGAGCCCCGGGGCACGCCCATGAGGGAAAGGCAGCTCCAGACCCCTGGAGGCGCTCGGCCGAGGGTCCCCGACAGCCTCCGCCTTGCCCGGTGGCCCGCCCTCTGCGCCTGGGCGGTGCCGGACCCGCTGCCCGCCCGCCCACACACCGCGACTTTCCCCTGGTCCAGGTGCCGGGGCAGCGCCACGCGCCCTGCGAGACTGAGCAGGAGGCAGCCTCCTTGGCATCAGCAGAAGATCTCCTCAGCCTCGGCTGGGCCTTCGGGCACGGGGCCGTCTGCAAAGGGAGCGCGGGGGAGTCGGCACAGCGCGCCTCGCCGAGACCCTCGCTCCGCACTGCGGCCGCAGGGCGTTCCCGACCCCCCACCGCCGCCTGCCCCCAGGGGACTCACCGCCGGCCGGGGCGCGGCTGCCCTTGCCCTTTTTCTTCTTCTCCTTCTTCTCCTTGGGCTTGGCCAACCCGAAGAGGCGGGTGGGGGCGGAGGCCGGGGCCTGGCCCTCTGGCGCCTTGTGGGTCTGGCCGGCAGAGCTCAGTATGTGGAAAGGCCCCTTGTCTTTGTGTGTCCGAGAGAGGCTGTTCCTTTTTGGGGACGCCGAGAGTTCTGAGTCCAGGGGCCCCGGCTTGGCGACGGCAGGC